ACCAAATCTATCAAATTTAATTCCCACCAGTGTCCTGAGGAAGTACTCCTGCCCGTATTCCACCGGCAGGACTCTGCCTGAGGGAGGGTAGACTGCCCCATGGATGCAGTACCACAGCTCACGGCTGAGGCCGGTGTGGTGGCCAGGTCTGCAGGGTTGCCTTTCTTACCATGCAGCCAACTTTCCACCAGGAAATAACCTCATCGTTAGCCGGCAGTGATGTAGATCTTCTCTCAGAAGGTAGAGTGGAGTCCTTTTGAAAGATCCTCTTTTCAGCTTTATAAAATGATTATAATTAACACATGTTGAGTTAACTACATATCAGGACTAATCTAAGCACTTTTATTCACCCATTAAAACTTCACAACTGCTCTGTGAGGCAGGTTGCATCGTTACCCTTGCTGTACAGATAAGAAAACTGATGCATGAAGAAGCTAAAGAACTTGCTGGGGTTTTATAGTCTGTGGAGCCAATTCTGTTCTCAACCTGCATTTACTCACAGCCTGTCAAGTACCCAGATCTTTGGGGGATGTGGAAGAAATATAAAACCAATGTTTCCCTTTAAATTTATCAGAATTAAAGGCCTTGAAACAATTAGACTTAAACTGCCAAATTGGCTGTTATATGAAGATCATACTTTCATAAACCTAAAATTCAGTGGTGAGATTTTATAAATGATTTTATTTTCTGCTTTACAAGCTGGTTTACATGTAAAGTTCAATTAGAATCTGTTTCCTTAGGCATTTAGTGAATTTCTTTATTGAAGAATAACATGAAATTAGAAGTGGCTATGATAAGTGATTTCCACATTATAAAAAGTATTAATATCAGTCTTTCTCCCTCAAAATCTCATTCTTGAAGTTCTCTTTCTGCTCTTATCTCTTTTATTTCCATAAGAAGCAGAAAAGATAGGGAAAACCTTTAAAGTGAGAAAAGCTACCTCTGTCTTTAATGTTCCCTGTGCTCTTGGTCATGCCTCAGAGCGGGATGGCTGGGGGAGTCCCCAGAAGGCCTCCTTTCATTACCTACCTACCCTTTGGACCTTGGGCCTCTGGAACCGTTTTCTGATGTAGGTCCCAAGAGGACAAGGTACATCTCTTCCTCTAGGTGGCCATTTGGTGTGGGGTTGACACTGTTGATGCTTGGCTACCTTGGGCTGTTTCCCCCAAAACTAGGATTCCTGATGTCTCCCCTCCCCACCTCATGCCTGTTTCACTCAGGAGAGAACCCAGGATCATGCCCGTCATCTTCCCCCCACTTCCTGAAGGCTCGGTGCCTGTTAATTACATGCCTTAGGAATTTGTACCATCTATTTCAGCTATTCCCACACATATTTTGAGAACAAAACAAGGGAACTCTTCTCCCTCCCCCTCCCCCAAGTTTCTTCCTATGCCCTTTTTGGGGGTGGAGAGGCCAGACAAAGCAGTGACGGCTTTCATCGGAGCAGCAAGCAGATTGTGATTTCTTACTGCCAGAGTAGGCAGTGGGTGGAAGTAAAGGATTGGTCAGACACATGCTTCTTCCAGAAAAGTCTGGAGGAAGTAGGAACTCCCCCTTTTCCTTCCATGCTCGGCTCCCTCTGCTGGGAGCATCAGGCTGCCAGTTTCCCACTGCTCCCCAAGGGGAATCAGAGCTACAAGGCGGGCCTCCTGCAGCTGCTTAATTCCACCTTCACTGAGAGCAGAATAATTAAACTTTAAACCTGAAATCCTCTGGACAATGTCTCCTTCAGAATCTTCTCAGTCACTCCTACTTTTTTCTAGACACAAATGCAGCCTTTCTTGTATTTCCAAGTAACACTATCTCAGCACATGAGTAAAAGCTCTAATGGCAAAATTTTAAATTTCTCATTGCTGTCAACTGTTTCCACAATGCTTCTTATAAATTGAAATGCATCTTTAAATGATTAATAAAACACTGTGGTACAAGAGCAAAGCAAATTAAAGGAACAAAATAGCTAGTCCAGGGTGGGATTGTTAGCTCATTTGGTTAGAGAATAAATAGTACTGATAACACCAAGGTCCAGGGTTTGATCCTTGTGCTGGCCAGCTGCCAAAAACAAAAAAACAACAAAATAGTCCAGAAGCAGCAGATTTTGATATTTGAAAATTGATATTATATGCTATTTGCTCAACTTACACTACAAATTACAGTACTGAATCTGCTTTAATAAATTTCTTTGTGACTATGAGCATTACTGCCTACTTACATAATTGAATCTGGGCACAAATATATATTGAACTTATTTTCAAAAGGAAATACTCTCCTGTGAAAGCAGTACTGTTCCTGAGAGTCCTCTCCAAACTCCTTTGAAAATGGAGCTGTATGGCAAGTTTGTAGTGAACGTGTAACACTTTTACTTCATCAACGATGGCTTCCTTTGTGCTATAATTAAGGGCAATTACTCTCAGCAGAGATTCTAGCCCAGGTGAAGCTGAGTTAATAAATAGCTGTTAGCCTCTAGCATTAACAAGGATATCTTCATTAAGGTGGTAATGTGTCAAGAGTGCTAAGAAGGTTGCCATGGTATTTATGGGTTTCAGCCTGGACTCTGGTTTTCCCTGAAATTAAAAATGTTTAGCCTTCAGTAAAAGGTACTTCCTTACACAGCAAAGCAGACAGAACATTAAATAGGTCAAATGACTAGGACTCAGGAGCTCAGTTGCTATGGCCAATGAACACATGGATATCTTGAAGAACCGACTGACAGGTTTTTTGGGTTGTTTTCTTTTAAGTTTTAATCTCTATATCTGTCTATTCATATATCCATTCATTTATCCATATGGGCTGTTCTCCAGCACATGGAAAAGCTGCTGCTCTTCTTCAGAAAACCCTGCCCACAAACAGGCCCAGCTAACCCACAGGGATCAGGTCTTTTTCATCTTCAAATCCACAGAGCCTACCATGCAGCAGATGTTCAAAAAATGTTTGCTAAATGAATGCATAAATTCTGCTTACCCCTTAGGCCAAATCGGCCCAGGAGTCAGACATTTTGAATTGTGATTCTTCACTGACCAACTTCCAGTAGATTCTGATGACAGTGGATTGTCCTCAGATGCTATAATGAAGCACTGGAAATGGGGAATGAGTTGGCCTGTGTAGGAACAAGGCAATGTGGTTGGATTAAGTGGTTCTCAAAGTGTCCTTGGATCAGCAGGATTCAGATGTTGAATCTATTAAAGTTCCCAGGTGATTTATGGGAAATTAATGTTATTTCCAAAATTTTACAGTTAACTATTGAAAAAAAAAAAGAAAGATGACAGTATATTGTAGTTCTAAGTAATCTATTTTCATTGTGAAAA